CTGTCTTCAGGAAGGAGTCACATATACAGACAGAACCTGGTACCTATTGCAAACAGATGTCCTATCTCAATCTGCGATGTGAGAAGCACATTTCCTGCACTATATATTTTATAAATGTTGCAGGAATTATTAAGCATTAGAGGGCTTTGGAGACTAAAACAAATTAATAACAATTCTACATTAATTGGCTGTTGCTTGAAACTATACAGCCCACTTGTGAAAAGTCCCACATCTTTTCTGTAGCTTTCAACATACAGAACTCTGTGTTTTACAATTCTCTCCAAAAAGAAAGGCTTTGCCTGCACATGAGAGGTGGCGAACAATGGCTGATGTCACCAACAGAATGACAGCATTGACAGACTGCTTTCTATCCTTCAGTTTTTGAGTGCTTTTCTGTATTGCCTTCCTCACACTGTAATGTGATCTTAATAATGTAGAAAGCATTTGAAGGTTAAAATGCACTCCAGAGGTAGAAAATGTTACTGTCTTCATTCTTGCTGTTGTTATTTAGGGGGCAGTAACTAGTTAGTTTAGGGAAATCCTAATAGAATTTTCATCTACACTGCAAACTACCAGTCTATATTTTCTAGTTAATTGCTGTTAGAGGTGGAAACTTTCAAATGAGGTCCAATTCCATTGCTGTGAAGTAGTTATGAATACTTAAAGGGAACATACAAATATTAAGCAGGAATATGATTTCAATAAAGTGAGAAATAAGGGTATGGGAAGATGATTCTGGAAAGGAGTTCATGCTTCCTGTCCTGAGAACTTAGTGAGAAAAGACTGGGGACCTGGGCCAATGAAATGGCCATTTATTGTCCTGAATCTTGGACAGTGTTACAACCATCAAAGATCTGCCTCAGAGCTCCAGGCATTCTTCATCATTATTATATTTTAGCTACTTCTTTTTGAAAAAAATATATAACATAAAATTTAAAATGTAAGAAAAAGCACATTGAAGACGATAATAATCCAACATGATCCAACCACTAAGATAGCCCACTCTTACTTGTATAATTTTTACATGTTGTTGTTGTTAGGAGCTGTCAAGTTGGTTCTGACTCTTAGCGACCCCAGGTACAACAGAACAAAACACTGTGTGGTCTTGCACCATCCTCATGATTGTTGTTATGCCTGAGCCCATTGTTACAGCAACTGTGTCAATCCA